AACTAATGTATGAATTTCCTTATTTCCCTTCCATTCCCAGAGTTTAGAGGGCATGGGGAAGGTTTTTTTTTTTTTTATTTTATTATCATCATAATCTTCTTTCTATTACACTAGATTACATATAACTTTACATTGACTTCCATTGCTTTTTCAAAAGGGAATGCCATGCATGTCAGTCAATACAGAGATATCAATCTCCCCGCTTTATCATTCAATATCTTTTCCATGCTTTTCCCAATAATTATTATTATAATTTTTTAAACAGTCAATCACTATTTCTCATTTTGCTTATTAAAGAGACTTCACCCATCATGAAATATTTCCCAGACCGGTTCAGTTGAGAATACTATACATGTCATCATCAACAGGTAATAAACCATATCTATTTCTCATTAACATCCTGCCTCTCTATTGTTCACTGCTGTCTTTATCCTCTTCTCCCTCCTTTTTTTTTTTTTATACTTTGTTTTTTATTATAAATCTTCCAAAAGGGAAAAGACAAAGCAAAATATTGCCAAGCATAAGATGTTATATCTTGCATGTAAGAACTCTAATGTTCCACATTTGACGAACCTGTGCTTGGTGTTGAAAGGTCACCACATACATCACTAAGAAGTCAAGCAGACAGTAAATTCCAATACTTTATTATAAGCATTGAAATCATATTTATAGAATTCTTCAGGCCAAGTTATTTTTCTACCCCTTTAGCCTTCAATGTCTACCAGAACTCAATGATTACAATGTTAGTTTTGGTAGGAAGATATTTATAATTTATCAAAATATGGTATATCATCCAATCATGAAGAAGATTGTTGTAAGCACTAGCTTTTCAATGCATTTTTAAAATATCAGATGCTTTCTAGTTTTAAATGCATTAAAATGAAATTATTTAAAGTGACACATGTTATCCTGGTTTTAGCCGGGAGTAATGGCAAAAGTCTCTCTTTCCTTTCAAAGTCCTTTGTCCAAGTATAATATTACTTGTGACAGAGAGTGAAGCCTTTATGATGAGATAGATTTGAATCCTGGAGGTATCATGGGCATCTCCATAACCTTGGGAAAATTATTTAACCCTTCTAAGGTTTAAACTTCTTAATCATTAAAAGGGTGGTTTTTATCTACCACATTGGATTTTATTTTTTTTAAAAAGTGTAAATAGTATAATTGGCCTAGTTCATTACTTGACACATAGCAGAATTCTATACCAGTTGGAAAACTAGAAATCACACATTAGAGAGATCTGAATATGCAGAATAATTGAAGCTAGTATCGAGAACTAAAAAAGTTACCTGGAGGTAACAGAGAAAAAGTAGCAGCATAACTCAGCTGCAGGAGCAAATGGAAAGAGATGGCATGTTAGGATGTAAATGCTGGGAGGAGGAGGTCCCGTGAATGAAACTCAGACTTTTGAGGAGAGGGCCAACAGCTGAACTGGTACACCCCAGGGTGTATGAAGACACTGGGGCAATGACTGGGTTCACTTCACTTGTTCCCCTTCTCTCTGGGATTATGTTCTTTTTGTCTGATGTCCTATGTATTGAAAACTAAAGTTTTATATAATTTGTCCACTTTTTCTTTTTCCAGGTAAAGTGTAAATCTGTCTCTTGCTCTTCCATCAGGAAAGAAGGTCTCTAATGCTTCCTAAACAAATAAATTAGCCCGTTTTCTGGGATCAGTTTAATTGGTTCTGTCTTGCTCTGTTTAGTTTTTCAGATAATTTTGGGGGGCATGATTTAAATGTAATGTTAATTAAGGACACACATCTTTCTTATGTCTAAGACCAAACCTTTTCTAAATTTTTTACCAATAAGGCACATGTGCTCACCAGAGAGAGACAGAGAAAGATAGAGGGAAAGTAAGAAATCATCCCCTAAGGGGGACCGGGGGACTCGCCCTCTTTTTGGTATTTTGAGAATGAACAAACACCCACTTGATCCATTTCTTCGGCTTTCTAGTATCCAGCTCCTTATCTATCAGGTCAAGGGCCTGATCCTTGCTTGAGTTGTCCCTTTATTTATTTATACACTTTTCCAATGTATATTATTAATAATATGGGGAAGCCTGCTTTTGAGTCCCATAGCATTTCTGGATCTTTTTTTTTTTCTGTCAACATTTATCCATCTCCATTTTCTCCATGGGTAATCCTATGGGTACAAGTTTCAATCGCCCCATGGGAGGAGAGTTGAAGTGTCCAGGAATGTGATACTGACAGTTTTTCTTATTATTACTGTCCTGTGCAAGGTCAGGTCCTAGGAGACCTTCACATAGGGCAGTTTGACTGTTTGCTCTAAGAAGCTCTGACATTGGGAGGAGAGAACTAGATTTGAAAGAGGTCCTATTGAGAATGGAAGAAAGTGGCTACATGTATACATGGATAGATAGGATTTCAGTATATCCCAAAATTATTATTAGCGATCATGATAATAGTTCATTGTGAACAACTACAGGCATTTCTTCTTATCCTTACCTTCTAGTTTTATTACAAACAGAAGTGTAGGATGTGTAGTGTGTTCATGACAGTGTCATGATACCTTGAAGCTTTTCCCAGGTGGGACACTCTGGAGGAGACAGTTGACAAGTCTCTCTTACAAGCAGGGAGATGAGATCGTCTGTTATTCACTGCTTACTGAGGTCAGGCTATGAAATAAGCAGTCACAAGTTTCACAGGTAACTGCACAAAAGATGCCAATTGTTTTGGTAAAAGACCAGGTGTAGGAAATATGAAATCATTCCATTATTATGAAGTTTGAAGTGAGCCTAAAAGCTTCAGTGGAAAACATTTTTCCTGAGAAAGATGCCTTAGACAGCGTTCACTCTGTTATACATATAGGCAATTCTATGAGATTTAATGTTCAAATATAAGATGTGCCCTTGGGACATTCCTAGTCTAATTGAGCAGTAAGGAATATGTTATGAGAAAGGGAACAGAGCATGGATGTTCTTTCTGTGCAGGGTCCCCTGAACACTGCAGTATCATCTTGAAAGGAAAACTGTGTGGTTTAATCCATCTTTCCTACCTAAATCCTGTGTGTGTATGATGGGTGGAGGGAGTATACTTTAAAAATTTAAAAGTGCACTTTTGAAGTTGCTGAATCTTACTGATATAGTTGTTACATATCCATGTTATATCACTTTCAGAGTAGGCTGATATCACAGGACTCAAATAGTGTGAGTGGAGGATTTTCATCTTCAAAAGTCACAAATATCAGGGTCACAATTCAAGCTGGTCTAAGAGTCTTAGAATTCTTTTTTTGTGAATAATTTCTCTCACATTTCTCCCTTTGATCCACTCAATCTGTGTTCATAAAGTGTATACCAGTAAGCTACGTTGTAGTATATTCCAACTTCACAATTGAAGTAAACTGAGTAAATGTTATGGCGAGAGGCCTTCCATCGGAAAAAAAAAAAAAAAAGAAAAAAACAGAAAAAGCCAGAATGAATTTGAATGTGCAGTTGGCCTATCCTTCTCCCTTTAAGAAAGGAGTGTGTGTGTTTGTTTGTTTAAATTGAAACATAAAGTTTTCTCCCTTCCTTCCCCTTTGCATTTGGAAAATTTTTGTGAGCATTCTTATTTTGTGGCAGAATGGTAATTTGCATAGTTCATAATATCATAATATTTGTTACCTTGCATCAAGAATTGAATTCTTATGGGGCTTTGTGCAAATAATAGACCAAATAGAAATTAACCTAATTTGTTTTGCAAATCAATTAGTTTATACATCTGTTTAGTAAAATGTATGGCAAGAGCAAATAAATAGTTTCAGAAGAAAATTATAGTGTACTTGCTATTAGATTCTTGCTTTGTCCATACTTTAAGATCTTTTGTGAATAAATAAAATGCGGGGGAAAAGTTTAGTATCAAAGAGAGGGAAGAAAAACAAAAAGGAAAAAACAGGTAGAAGTTTGCTTAATTGACAAAAAATGAAAATAATTTGATGATAATGTATATAGTAGAATCCTTGTCTTAACTGATGTGCATGATATTTGTGTTGGAAAAAGAAGTGTATACTGTAAAGATATGTGAGAAAATGTAAATTAAAATTATAGAGAAAAGAAAGCAACATAAAACAAGGATAACTGCCAGAGTAGTTAATAGTCGAGAGACAAGAGTGAATGTGAAATTCGCAGTCTATTTTTTTTGTCCTTGAGCCAAGGAGCAGTTATATGCATCTGCTACATGGAACAGAGATTAGGGCAGCCTGTCTCTACCATGACAAAAGATCCACCTTGGCTATGTTATGGGTTGCTCATCCAGTGCCAAGTGTGCCTTCAGAGCTTGGGATGTTATCCCCTGGAGAAGGCTTCTTCTGGTCCACCATTGTTGACTGAGGTCAAAGGTTCTGTCAATCTTTTGTGAGAGTGAAAGCAGCATCCATGTCTGTTCTGCTTTTGGACACTCTTTTTAAGAGCTGTTCAATGTTGAGAGCAATGGTAGCCAAAGTCAGAATGAAGTCTACCCCTTCAGATAAATGCTGCTAAAGTTGGGAATTGAAGGTAAATGATGGGATAAGTAGGCCTAGGAAGGAGCAGGAGTGATTTTTGAAGTGGCCTGAGAAATGCACTTTTTTGATTTAGATGCTGATTGACCTCAGTTTGTTGTTTGCTTGTTTGATTGTTACATTTGTTTTTATTCGTGGTGTGTTCTTCCTTTGGCATCTTTGATTTATTTTTTAATACAGTATCTCATTGTCATGATCCTCTGGCCTAGCCTTTGCAAATCTCTGGGATTACCAGTACATGTCATGTTTCCCAGCCTTCAAATTGTACTAGGAAACAGACCTTGGGCTCTCATGTAATTCAAGCCACTGAACAACTTAGATTCACTATCAGTGGATGGAGAACTTCTATTTTTGAGGATCCTGTGCTTTCAGTGAGGGAGGATCGTGATCTTCAAGAAACACTTTGTCAGTAGCAAATAACCTAGGAATAATCCCTACCTGATCTCCATATCTTGCCTTCAGTCATATATTCTTCATATTCTTCTTTTCTCCTTGCTCTAGGTGAGAAGAGTGATAGAAACCAATATGATTCCTTTGAAGCCATGCGGGACAAAGATCTTCCTGTAGAGATAGACTTCATGGAGCAGAAGCCTGTGAGTGAGCTGCCTCCCAGACAGGTAGCACTCGATGTACTGAACAGCCCTAAAGTCCAGCTAGACAGGAAATGCAAAGTATCAGGTGATGGTAGTAACATTGAGAACATCATGGAAGAGCTGTCAGAGGGTCATCTGCTGAAAACCAAACCACGGAGTTCTAAAGGTAACTTTTTTGGTTAGATTCCGGTATCCTCTGGGGAGGCAAGTGTCGGTGGCCATTGTGGGTGAACAGGAGATGTGGACATACTGCATCTCCTGTCCACCTGTAGCAACCATAGGCACAGGTGGAAGGAAATCACAGGTGGTCATAGGGAACCACAGACACAGCAGTGAAGCTTATCCATTACCCTCTTGATACTTCAGGGATTCCACTCAGGATCACTCCACTCTCCTCTTCCCCACAACTTCAGATGTAAGTGCTGAACCTGGAGAAATGGCTAAACTCTCATAGACCCCTCCTAAAATGGTGTGAAAAACTCAAGAAGAGAGTGTGACTGCTGGGCACACTTCCCTACCCTATTAGTGATTTGGAACAGCTTCTTAACATCCTTGGAGGGAGTGATAATTCATTGAACCACTTAAAGACCCATATTATAATGAGCTGACCAACTTAAAGATGCACCCTCAATCAACAGGGCCACATCCAAAAAAGCAACGCAACTTCGGGCACCTTAGAGAACAGTGGGAACAGCAGGTGTCAGCAGCAGAGAACAAACCTGACTGGAAGAGCAAGAAGCAAGTAAGCCAGGCAGTTCAACCTGAGGGCACTGCCAAGGGGGATAACATTACCAGAAAGAAACTGAGCAGGAAAAGGGCAGAGTCCAAAGACAATAGAAGCTTGTTGGAAGAGTCTTTCAAATGCAGTGACAATGAACAAGGTATGTGCAGGCTACCTCTTTACTGCTTGCTTCACTCCTGGAGTGGGGCTCATCTGCTGTCTGTGACAAAAGGCCTCTGATGGGGGACTTTGAGCCTCAGAAGTTGACTCTGGCTGGGATGGGCAGGAAATAAATTCTCATGTGACATTCTCAGAAATGCACTTGCTCAGGGCCATCTCAATTCTTTCCAGAGTGCAGGAAACCAATAAAGGAGGTCTTTGTAACTCCAGGGTCTTACCACTAGCCTGGCTATCTAGCATTCAGGAAGTCCCTCACCTAGGGCTAGTGAGTGGCAATAGGAGAGAAGGCATAGCTCACTTCTTTTCAGTTGTACAAGATTTTTTTGGGGGGTGGAGATTTCTGCTATAGGGTGTGTGCACTTGCCAGAAAGACAGACAGAGACAGAAAGAAAGACAGAAAGTGAGAAATCACCACCTGGGGGATGGCCATGCCACAGTTTCTTCTCCTCCTTTCTTCTCTTGGGATCTTGTGCATGCACACGCACCTGGTTTGAGGTTAAGCCACTTGGTCCGGGACTTGAACCGTGGTTTACTACAAGAGTGTCCAGCGACATAACCATTATGCTAATTGATGGTTCCTATCATCTCTTTTTGATGTTTCCACATTCTTTGCATTTTCTGGATCTGGATGTTTTTGTATATATATTTGGAAAGCTTTATTTTTATTTTTTTGAGAGATTTCTGATATAGGGTACTTGTGTTACTTGGAGAGACAAAGACAGACAGAAAGCAAGGAATTACACTCCTGGCTGGATGGTCACTCCTAAACCATTATCCTCTTGAGATTTGGGGCTTGCACTGAATATTCATGCCCAACGTCAATTGGAAGCCACCATTTCCGAAACTTGAACCATGGTCAACTGTCATTGATGTAACCATTCTACTATCTACTGGTCGCTCTTTTGTTTTAATGGATTTTTGATATAGGGTGCATGTGCTCACCAGAGACACACAAAAAAAGAGAGAGAGATAAAGTAAGAAACTACTCCCCAGAGGGGATAACCACACCACAATTCCTTTTGCTCTTGAAATTTTGGGCACACATGCACAGGCATCCAGTGTGAGTTTCAAGTCATCAGGTCCAGGTCTTTAACTTCATTCAGTCGTAAGAGATTCCAGAGCCTTAATCACTATGCCATGTAATGTCACTAAAATGTTTTGTGATAAATATTTCTTGAAAGAGATTTTTCTATGCTCTTCTCATTTTATGAAATACTCATTGCATGAGTTTTTAGGCATTTGTGTCTAGTATTTCCCACTTATTCCTTTCTACTTATTTATTTGTTATATTTCTATTCATTTCAGTAATTTTAACGAAGGGTACTTTGACTTCCTGGTTAGAGAGTCTTTCTCCTACATGGTCTAATGTATATTTGAGGGAGAGAGTTCAGTACCTTTTATCTTTTATCTGCAGAAGTTCTGTATGGTTTCCTTGTAGTTTGTTTCTTTATGAAGTTTCTCTTTCATGTTATGTAATGACTTTTCTCATCTCTTATAATTGTTTTCTCTTGCATCTCCTTGAATGTTGTCACAATGAAAATTCTGAATTATTTTTCTGACTTATCTAAATTCTTCTGTGTTGTTCATCAGTGAGGAGTTACTATGTTCCTATGTGTGAGAGAGATTGCCTTGTTTTCTCCTATTAATTGTGTCTCTGCGCAGGTTCTTAGGCATCTGTTGAAGTAATCATTTCTTTTTTATTTTTGTAGTAGGTTCCATAATACCAGGGAGGAAGTATAGCTATAGGTCTCAGATGTGTCCCAGGCAAACAGCCATATCATCCAGATCAGAGCAGGAATATGTAGCCTGTACTTGATACAATTTAGAAAGGTTTAGAAGGGCTCTTCATTTGCTTTTTTTTTTTTTTTTTTTTTTACTCGCCAGACAGAGAGAGACATAGAGACAGAAAGTGAGAAATCGCCCTGGGATGGTCATGCCGCAATCCCTTCTCCTCCATTCTCCTCTCAGGATCTTGGACACGCATGCACATGTGCCCGGCGTGAGTTTTAAGACACCGGGTCCGGGACGCGAACCACGGTTGACTACGTGGGAGTCCAGCGACATAGCCATTACTCTAACTGCTGGTTCCCGAGGGGCTCTTCTTGAATTTATTAGTTGGCTCAAGGAACTCTTACCTTGGGCTTTCGGCTGATGGTAGGACAGTGTAAGTTACCTTACTTGCCATATTGAGTAGCAGTTTTCAAATACCTCCATCTTGGGATGATGGTTCTGTCTTCTGAGTCCTCTGCTCATTATCTCAAACTGTGGAAACCTGATTGTATTATAGGTGCTCCCTCTGGTCATTAGCCTATAAGAGTGTATGTAGCTCTTGTCAGTTTGGAGTGGGTTGAGATGGAAAGAACAACTCCCCCCCCCATGAACCTGATTGTGCTTCTGCATCCCTAAATGTGTGTTAATTCTGCAACACTTCCCTGTTCTTTTGTATATGAGACTAGTCTACTGAGATCCATGTCAGTGGTATGTTTTTTGGAATTTAGAAGAGTTTTTCTTATTTTTCTACTTCAAAAGGGAAACTCAGGAGGGAGAAATCCCCCAGCACTTCATTGGATTTAAGGAGTTGGCTTTTCTTTGTTTTTGTAAGTAGAAGCCATACAATCTAAAAGCTCTGAGGAAATCTCTCCTGCTCCTCAAAAGTCAAGCCTGATTATTCTCAGTGGGGTCTACTCCTGGGTAGTGTCTAGGGCTTGGGTACCTGCAGTCCCTAGAGAAAGTGTTGACATTCTCTCTACTCAGCCAGTCTCCATAGTCTCATTAGTTTATTCAGTATTTCTTGTCCAGATCCAGCTTGGGTTGAGCCAGAGTACTTGGTTAGGGGCTGAGCTGGCAATAGAAAGTAACTGAAGTGGGGTAGGTGCAGGAACCAGCAGGAACATACATACTGGCCATGACAAGCTAGAAGGCTTGCACATAACATGGACTTGCAAGAAGGTGAGTACACTATCTGGGCTGGGAGGAAAGTTTTTATCTGGACTGGTGGGAAGTCTGCAGATTGACTCTTCCTTCTGTCAGGGGTATTTAATTTTGAATGTCTTGTGATTTTTATAATAACCAGAGATTATTGAGCTTCTAAATAGGCATCCATGTTCTGAGATCTGTTGATTGTTCTTGATGTGTTTTATTGAAGAATTTAAGAAGCCTTTTTGACTTGATATCTGAATGCAAATTTGTCTTTATGACTTTTTTCAAGGACATTACTTCATATTCAGAACAGTTGAATACTGTTTTACTTTTCAGTTAAGATCCACCTGGTAAAACCGGTCATATCAGCATTTTCAGTGAGAGTCTTCTAAAAATCCATTCTAGGTGGAAGAACTTGGTCAATAAAAATTACACAGTCACAAGGAGTTTTGTCAGATAGTAATGGTAAAAGAGATGGAGGATTAGAATTATTGTGAGAAATAGGGGCCAGCAGGTGGCATGGTGGTTAAGATGTTGGAATTCCCACATGGCTGGCCATGGTTTGAGTCCTGGATCAGGCAGCTTGCTTTCTCATTCTTCCTCTCTCTCTGTCTTTCTCTGGCAAAACTCATGTGGAAAAATAACAATAAATAAATCATTCTTAAAAAAGAATTATTGTGAGAAATAGTAATATAAGGAGAAGGTAGATGTATAATTTCATAAGAAGCAAGTTTATTGACAGAGAAGTACTGAGTGTAATGGGATTTTTAGAGACAAACTCATAATAATTCTCCAACTAACCTATAAAGCAGAATAGTGGCTGAAATATATTTTTGAAAAATACTAATAGCTCTCAGGAATGGATGCTTCCTTCTAGCTTATCTAATTGCTGACTGTAATATTCTGTCGGGCCTGTTCTGATCTTCATTTCTAAATTAGGACTCCTAGGATAGTTGCTTTATATTCATGTGTAAACAATGAGAAGGGTCATTTTGATGGGGATGCCTAAAAGAAGATACATTTTCAGTATTTTCTGTTTTGATAGCTAATTTTCTGTGTTTGTATGTTTTTTGTTTGTTTGTTTTGTTTTGTTTGTTTGTCAAGTTGATCAACCTTTAGGAAGGCAGACAGAAGTTGATCTATGAAAGGAAAAGTTGAGGTCTAATTTCTACAGTAATCAGCAAAATCCCAAAATGCTATAAGTAGTTTTATTTATTTTTTCTTCTTATTTTGATACTGGCTCGAAAAGGATAGAATGACTGAATTTAATCCAGTTGTATTGAAAATTCATCTTCCAAAATGATATGTCATCAATATTTTGTCAGATACTTCAGACTGAAAAAATCAAAGTTTTTTTCTTTTGGAGACTTATTGTCCCTTTAACTGAAGTTGGTAGAAAAGATAAAGATTATTTTTCTTAGAGGCTTTTGGGACTGAGGAGCAGAGAAGAAGATCATCAGCATAGTAATTAGGATTTAACCTTGTGGGTAATTTAACACACCTCAATTCACCTAGGTCTGATTTTATTATTTGAAACAAGAAACTGGGACTATATAATTTTCAGGCATTAATGGCCCACATAATGTGTATTGCATGGCAGGTAAAAGTAAAATGATATTATCTTTGTAGGTCTAGTGGAGTGCTAAACAAGACATTACACAAATCAAATATAGTAAACGTTTACCAAGTGATGGATATTGACAATAAAAGAATCGGAGAGTTAGGGAACATAAAAGAATCGGAGAGTTAGACAACACTAGAGTCTAGAGATTACAATATCATTTATTATTCTTTTTTAAAAAATGTATTTTTTAAAATTTAACAAAAAGAGAGAGAGAGAGACAAAGCAAGCCACAAGGACCAAGACACAAACAGTGGTTGGCCATGTGGGTCCAGGATGCGAACTGCGGTCGACTACGTGGGAGTCCAGCGACATAGCTATTACACTAACTGCTGGTTCCTGGAATGTGGATTCTTTATGTGGCCCAATTGGAATGAGTGTGTCCTTTTAATTCTGGAAACTTACAGGTCCACTATACTTCAAACAGTCATCAGTTGCACTCTTCCACTAGATCACAGTTATCTGGGATCTCAGGAGTTCTTGGAATGGTTAATGCCCGTTGTCTTATTGTGCGACACCCAACCCTTTTAATGACTATTAAAGGGAAGAAGATTAGCAACTGAAGAGAAAAAGGTTTCTGCTTTGCTTGTGTTTGTTTTATTTTCTTAATTAATTTTTTTGGTGGGTATAAGGCATCTGTACTTTGAAATACTGAAGGAGAGAGAGGGAGAAATCATTCTCTGGAGGAAATGGCCACATTGCAGTCCCTTCTCTTTCATTCTACTCTTTGGAATTGGGGCATACATGCACATTGAGCTGGTATAATTTTTAAACTGTCAGGTTCATGACTTAAACTATAGAGTCAGTCATGTGGGATCCAGCAGCATAGGCTCTATGTCACCTGCTCATCCCATAAGTTTCTGAATTTAAGATTCAAATATATGGCTCAAAGCAAACTAAAACTGGCAACAAACAAACTGCCCTTCTGAACTCTAATCCCCACGGAACTAATTTCTCAATGAAATATGAACTCCATTACTAAGGTAGATCAGTACTTATTGTGAAGTGAAAATGACAATGAGCTGTTCTCTCAGCCAGAAGCACTAAATTGGTCCCATAAGATTTTTAGATACATGTGACCAGAACTTGTCAGACTTCAACAAGTAAGTAGAGAAAATGCAAGAGATTTATTCTTGGGAGAAAAATAGCAGGGTTTCAGTGAATTAACGAAATCAGTTGAACTGAAATTTTTGGAGTAACATTAAATAGTTTAGGACACTTATACTCTTTCATTCCCATCTTGAGTCACTAAAATGTTAACTTGAAATGCAGACAAAAATATGACTCAAAGTTGAGAAGATAAAATATATATTTTTACTTAAACATGAACCTCAGGATTAAGGATTGACTATTAGGGAGAAATGCCTTAGAAGTTGTAACCAGTGCTCCACAATGGTATAGTTTGAGTGTGTTTGTGTGTTGTGAGTGTTTTAATAGTAAAAATAGTGCTTGTGTCAATTAAGGATTGAGGGGTTTCATTTTGATATATTTGTTCTGTTTGTTCGCTTTGCTTTAGTACACAGGTGCTTGTCAGAGAAAGAAATGTTGAGTCAGGGAGAGGGCGAGAAAGCATTGAAGTCATGCCCCAATCTTGTCTCTTTTTGGGGTTTTGAGCATGAACACACACACACACCTGATCCATTTCTTAAGCTGCTGAGTCTAGGAATCCAGCCATATGACTTGGTATGTAAAATCCAGCTGTTTTATCCATCAGGTCAAGGACCTGATCCTTGAGTTCTTTCTTTATTGATTTATACATTTTCCCAATATATATTATCAATAATGAGGGGAAATCCTCTTTTGAGTCTCATAGCATTTCTTTTTTATTTTCTCTTAAAATCTTTCCATCTCATTTTTCTCTATGGTTAATGCCATGGTTACTAGTTGGAATCGTTCCAAGGGAGGAGTGTTGAAGTGTGCAGGAATGTGATACAGAGGTTTTCTTCCATAGCTGGTGATCATGTGTATCTTGTGAAAACATAATGAAGGTTTTTCTGTATTATTACTGCCCTGTGCAAGGTCAGGTCTTAGGAGACCTTCACATAGGGCAGGCAGTTTGACTTTTTGCTCTAAGAAGCTCTGGGATTGGGAGAGGGAGGAGAGAACTAGATTTGTAAAAGGTCCTGTTGTGAATGGAGAAGAAAGTGGCTACACTGTGTACATGAAAGGATAGGATTTCAGTAAACCCCAAAATTATCATTAGCGTTATGATAATAGTTCATTGTGAACAACTACAGGCATTTCTTCTTATCCTTACCTTCTAGTTTTCTTACAAACAGAAGTTTAGGATGTGTAGTGTGTTCATGACAGTCCTATGATACCTTGAAGCTTTTCCCAGGTGGAACACTCTGGAGGAGACAGTTGACAAGTCTCTCTTACAAGCAGGGAGATGAGGTCGTCTGTCATTCACTGCCTACTGAGGTCAGGTTATGAAATAAGCAGTCACAAGTTTCACAGGTAACTGCACAAAAGATGCCAGTTATTTTGGTAAAAGGCCAGGTGTAGGAAATATGAAATCATTCCATTATTATGAAGTTTGAAGTGAGCCTAAAAGCTTCAGTGGAAAACCATTTTCCTGAGAAAGATGCCTTAGACAGCGTTCACACTGTTACACATATAGGCAATTCTATGAGATTTAATGTTCAAATATAAGATGTGCCCTTGGGACATTCCTAGTCTAATTGAGCAGTAAGGAATATGTTATGAGAAGGGGAACAGAGCAGGGATATTCTTTCTGTGCAGGGTCCCCTGAACACTGCAGTATCATCTTGAAAGGAAAACTGTGTGGTTTAATCCATCTTTCCTACCTAAATCCTGTGGGTGTATGATGGGCGGAGGGAGTATACTTTAAAAGTTTAAAAGTGCACTTTTGAAGTTGTACCTGAATCTTACTAATATAGTTGTTACATGTCCATGTCATATCACTTTCAGAGAAGGCTGATATCACAGGACTCAAATAGTGTGAGTGGAGGATTTTCATCTTTAAAAGTCACAAATATCAGGGCTACAGTTCAAGCTGGTCTAAGAGTGTTAGAATTTTTTTTTTTGAATAATTTCTCTAGCCTTTCTCCCTTTGATCCACTCAGTCTGTGTTTATAAATTGTATGCCAGAAAGCTGGGTTGTAATATATTCCAACTTTAAACTGAGTAAAGATTATGGCCAGAGGCCTTCCATCCCAAGACTAAGCAAAAAGCCAGAATTAATGTGCATCTCAGGTGGACCTAGCCCTCTGCCTTTAAAAAAGGAATTTGTTTGTTTGTTTAAGTTGAAACATAAAGTTTTCTCCCTTCCAGCCCCTTTGCACTTAGAAAATATTTGTGAGCATTCTTATTTTGTGGCAGAATGGTAATTTGCATATGTATATAATACCATAGTATCTGCTTTCTTGTATCAGAAATTGAGTTCTTATGAGGCTTTTAGAAAATAATAGACCAAGTAGAAATTTACCTATTTTTTTTTCTTTTTTGCAAATCAGTTAGAGGAAAAAAAATGTTTCAGAAGAATATTATAGTTTACTTGCTACTAGATTCTAACTTAGTCCATACTTTGAGATCTTTTGTGAATCAATAAAATGTGGGGGGAAAAGTTTAGCATGGAAGAGAGGGAAGGGAAAGGAAAAGGGAAAAACAGGTAAAAGCGTGCTTAATTGACAAAAAATGAAAAGCTATTTGATTATGATAATGTGCAGGCTACCTCTTGACTGCCTGCTTCACTCCTGGAGTGGGGCTCATCTGCTGTTTGTGACAAAAGGCCTCTGACTGGGGACTTTGGGCCTCAGAAGTTGACTCTGGCTGGGATGGGCAGGCAATAAATTCTCATGTGACATTCTCAGAAATGCACTTGCTCAGGCCATCTCAAGTTCTTTCCAGAGTGCAGTAAACCAATAAAGGAGGTCTTTGTAACTCCAAGGTCTTACCACTAGCCTGGCTATCTAGCATTGAGGAGGTCCCTCACCTAGGGCTAGTTAGTGGCAATGGGAGAAATAGCAAAGCTCACTTCTTTTTAGTTGTACAAGCCTTTTGAAGAAACTTCCTACTTGGCATTATATAAACTTTTGGATTGTTAGAAAAGGTATGACACATTTTTGCATAGAAAAATTCATCATGACTTTTCTGGTGGCTCAGTATTTCCAAATAATGGTATTATCAATATATTAATGCTTTGAAAATAAAATTGGTATTTTTAAACACTAAACCTCACCAGTCATCACTGATAATAATGGGCTTTTCTTTCTACAGTAGTTACAATTGTGTAACACATGCTCTTTTTTCTTCTTCTACATGTCTACTCACACAAATTTAGATTTGCCTATGTTTTCTGGCCCTCTGTCCATAAAGAGCCTTTCTTTCATCAAGGCAAACATCAAAAAGCAGACTCAGCCAAGCTGCATGCCAACTTCAAAGCCACCTACTGAACAGCAGAGAAGTAAAGAAATCCAGAAGACAGATTTGCTAAGCACAGACAAAGAAAAGGCTTGCCAAGATGCCTCCCAGCAGACAAATACCCCAAACAGTGAGAAACCATCTGGGAAAAGACTGTGCAAAAAACCAACCACTTGATACCCCAGGAGCCTAGGCAGGCTATGCCACTGACAGGGGGTTACCAAGTGAAGAATGATGACAGCAAGGTACTTCCTGACCCCTGCATCGTCCTTGGGTTGTTGCAAACATTATTTCCTCATGTTCCATACCTGCATGCCTTTCAAAGATAATGCTATCCTTTCTTGGACTCCTCTCTTGACTCTAACTCACTTGTATTAGAGTTGTGTGTGTGTGTGTGTCTTATGCATGGCAGTAAAACTGCAAAGTGTTGAATTTAAACTCCTTTCACAATTTATGAAACTTTTCCTTTGACTTCCTACCTCAAAAAAAGACATTATGTTAAAGGAACAGTAGCTCCCACCTGCCAAGAAAGGAAAAGAGTGCCTTCCAGGTTTGTCATGCAGGGAGGAGGAGAAGGGGAGGTAGCCTTAGAAGGAAATAGCCTTAACTTTTGCATTGCCTGCTTTTGTTAATAGGTGACACTTAGGGTGATCCAGCCTGCTTTAGACTGTCATCCATCACCAGCTGAGCAGTTTCTAAAGCCCTTCAGCCAATTAAAACAATTTCTACCAAGCTTCCAGTCCAAAAAGCTGACATGTTCAAGCTCTGCTCAAGAGACCACCCCATCTTGCCCGATGCCACCAGAAGCACGGAGACTGACTGTCAATAAGAGTGCTGGTGAGACCCTTCTACAGCGAGCCGCCCAACTAGGCTATGAGGTAAGCATACTTTGATTGGCTGCTACTCAAGGTTGGAGCTTGACTGGGGCAGGCATATAGCAAGAGGAAAGAGCAGAGCCCATTCACCTACACATCAGAGGCAGGATATTTGTTAGCTATACTTGGTTCTTTCTCTTTCTCTCATTTAGTCACGATGTGAAAGAAAAGGACTCTTGAGGGTTAAATTTGTGTTTAGGCAAGTAGACTTTGGTTTTTTCCAGTCTCACTTACTCTTCTCTCTTACAAAACCTAACATAAACATGGGCTTGATGACTGAGGGAATTCTAATAGGTCCGTTTGACTTTTGATTAGTAAAGGGATTATGAGCTCTATTGGGAATGTACAGGTTGAGGATGCAGTGCATATTGAGGTAGAAGGCACAGACTCTGGTCTTTTTCTTTTTCTTTTTTTTTTTTTTTCTTTGGAGCGCTATGCCCGCGTGGGGCGTTGTGACTTGTTTGTTTGTTTGTTTATTTATTTATTTATTTATTTATTTTTATTTTTATTATCATCATGGTCTTTTTCTGATAGGGTTAGATAGCTCCAAGGCTGAGGTGGAGTTCAGACTCCTTTAAATTCATGGTTCTTCCCCCTACCCATTAAATTCATGGTTCTTCCCCCTTCCCATCACTTCCCAGGTGACTGGTAACAATGAAAACTACCCAGTGATCTTCAAAAAGTTTATGGAGGGACCAGCAGATGGCATAATGGTTACATCGCTAGACTCCCACATAGTCTACTGCAGTCCAAGTCCTGGACCCAGCAGCTTAAAACTCATGCATGGCAAGTGTGCCTGCATGTCCCAAATTCCAAGAACACAGTGGAGGAGAAGGGATTGCAGTGTGGTCATCCACCCAAGGGTTGATTTCTTTCTTTCTGTCTCTCTGTCTCTCTCTGTCTCTGGCAAGCACACATGCCTTACAGCAAAAATCTCTTGAAAAATAGTTTATGAAAAATGCATGACTTTGAAAAATTTTGGGGCCTCAGTAAATTTATGTTTAGATTCCATGTTCTTATCAACTTTAGGAAAAACTGTTATGGTAACTGAGTACTTAGTTGTATGCTTTCTTTCATTTGTTTTTAAGGTTTTACTGCTTGTTTTTCCCTCATGGAATATGTACTTGGCAGAGAGAGACAGAAAGAAGGAAAGTGAGAAGTCATCACCAAGCAGCAGGTGCTGCAATTTCTTCTCCTTCATTCTCCTCTTGGGATTTTTTGGGCAAGAGTACCCATGCATCTGGCATGATTTTCAAGTTACTGGGTTCAAGATTAGAACCATAGTTGTTCATAGGGAGTCCTGCACTTAAACCACTACACTATCTACTGGCCCAATTGTGTGTTCATATATTCTTTGAGCCCATATGTTTTGTAGATACTCATTTTATCCTTTCATCATTTGTATGTGGTAGTAACTAGTCTTATTCCCACTTTTCAGATCAGGAAATTAAGTGCTAGGGAGTTTCAATTACTTGGGCAGGTAATAATCTAGCAGTATAGTATTGTTCTCATTTTTTTTTGGTTATGTTTTTCAGACTTTTTAGTGATTATTTTTTTCCCAGTTTAGAGATTTTATCTTCTTCCTCTAAGATTCTATGTTCTGCATAATCTAATCTGCATAATCTAATCTGCTTGTAATACTGTCAGGGGAGGTTTTATTTTCTATTGTTACAGCCTTGATGTCTAACAACATCTTCTGATTTTTTTCATGGTGTCTAATTCTTTTTTTCCTATTGTGGAGGAATTCCTAGAGATCAGTGTCTCTTTTCTTGTGTATCTCATAAAGATTTGTCACCATAAGTATTTTAAATTCTTTTTCTGACATTTCAGTAATATCCTCTAATTTCCCCATACTTGGAAACAAGTGACTTATTCCCTTGTTGGAGACTTACAACTTGGTTTTCTCTTTCTTGAGGCTTTTCTCTAATTTTTAGTCATTTTGTTAATGTATTTGCTTTATGCCAATTTGTTGGAGAAGGCTTTTCTATCTGTGAGTTCATGTGTTTATCTTTTATTTTATTATTATTCATACCTTAAATCGCTATGTATCATTTAAATTGTGAAGAGACTTTACACAGCATAATACACACCTCAGTACAGCCTAGTTGAGACTATTATGCACATCCTTGTTAACTGTGAAATAATTCTGTCCTAATTTCTCCCTTCTATTTTGTTTTTCAATGTAATAACAGCAATAGGAATTTTGAGATGATATTTATAAAGAGCAGTTTCTGTTTTAGCAACAGGTTCAGTAGCTGGTTTAAGATAGCTCTGAGCCTTACAGTTTTCACATGTTTGGCTACTCTGCCTATACCTGGCTAGAAAGTGAGTGAAGGTGGATCAGCAAAATGAGAAAGTCAGATAAAACAAAAAGAGAATGAGAAATAGTAATAGGAAGGAAAAAATGAAGAATAAAGAAAGAACAATGCAAAACAATAAAAAAAGAGGAGACTTTCTCGTGAAAAATAAACGAAATAAAATTAAAAGATGGTGTGCCCAGTGAAAAGGACACACACACCCGAGATGGAGATACCTGTGTAGACTCTGTCCTTGTGGGGAAGGAGAGATAAATTAATAACAACAGCAATAAAAGGCACAGAGGGGGTAAAAATTAAGTGACAAAAATATAAGAGGAAAGAGAGATTTTTCTCTTCCTTTTCTAGGTTCTGGCATCAGAAAGAAGAAGGATACTGGCTAGGGACTTCACAGCAGTGATGCTGGACTCAGAAAAGGGGAGCACATGCCTGAGATCATGCCTGGCATGATTTTCAAGCCTCCACTTCTGGGACTTTAGCTGCAATCAACCATGTAGGAGTCTAGCACCTTAACCATCAAGCACCTGCTGGACCCTGTTGCTATCTTAACATGCCACATAAGTGAAATAATAGTAATTCTAATTGTTCACACTAACACATTTTGCAAAGATGGAAGAATATTTTATTTAGTGCTTGACATGTATAGACTATACCACATGACACATCATATTCCTCTCATTAACTTAAGTAAATGTGAAATTATATATTGAGGGAGTCCATGTGCACTGGAGAATGTGGCAAAATGAAAGATGGCATTAATCTAGAAGCATTCTGCATGGTACAAAGCCTTCTTTCTTTTTTAAAATTAGATTTTCTTTACACTTTTTAAATGTACATTTAATAACTACATCTTTACAGTGTATATAAAATGTTTTTTTTCAGCATGTATGCAGTACATACCAACCAAGTAAAAAATATTACAATATATTGGGTCATCTGAAAAGTCATGGCATAGTTTTGCATAGAAAAACGTGCATGAATTTTCCAATGAGTCAATATTAAATAGCACATTGACAAGTTATGGGCATTCTCAGTGTGTCAGTTCATTTTTATGTCATCATTCCCTATTGAGGGTAGTTGCTTCTCTCCCTTTCTTTGTTCTTTTCTCTCTGGCAAGTACATCGGCTGTGTAGCAAAATAAAATAAATGGTGATACTGAATAAAAACACAGGCTAAATATAAGTATGGATGACTAGCTATCTTTTAGTATATTTATCAACTTTATTTATTCAGAGAGAGAGAGAGAGAGAATACTTGATAAGGTTTTGATGCTGCAGTCTACCTCTAGCCTTTGCTGACCCTGGATCCTTGGCACACATGGGCCTAGAATACTCAAGGAGATCTCAGGACTTGAATCAGGAAACTTCCCTTGTGGGATTGCCCCAGGAAGTGCTGTGTTTTACTGCTGCATCACCGTGTTGTCCCTGAAAGATTATTTTTATTGTTTTATTTTATGTAGTGTGCATGAGCGAATAAAGAGGGCTGGGTGGGTAGAGAAATGGAGAGAGGGAAAGTGAGAAAGCAACTGGAAAGAGGGGTGGTCACCCTATTATCCTTCTCCTCCACTCATCTCATAATTCTGAGCATGCATGCATGTATGCATGTGTATTCACAGACACACACACACACACACACACACACACACAGATTTTTAAGCTGCTGTGTTTGAACTTCAACTGTGCTGTCAGCATGTGAGATCCAGCCATCTTTTAAATAGTATTTTTATTTTATTTTAATTTCTCTTACACATTCAGTCACTATACATCATCACATAGCTTATAAAGTGAATTTTCCAACATAAGTACATTTCTTACCAGTCCAGTTGGGGATACTGTACATGTTATCATCAACAGATAATAATCTATTTCTGTGTCCCACCGATGTCTTGCCTTTCTATGTTTCTCCTTAATGTCTTTCTTCAGACTCTCTTCCTACACCCATCTTCTTTCCACACTGTTCCCAGTATCAATAACCATTTCCAATGTTTCTGTCCTTTCACTTTCTTCCACAGTGTGCAGATAGCTATCTTCACCACCTAACCACCCACCTAACCCGAAAGGAGGGACCAGCAGATGGCATAATGGTTACATCGCTAGACTCCCACATAGTCTACTGCAGTCCAAGTCCTGGACCCAGCAGCTTAAAACTCATGCATGGCAAGTGTGCCTGCATGTCCCAAATTCCAAGAACACAGTGGAGGAGAAGGGATTGCAGTGTGGTCATCCACCCAAGGGTTGATTTCTTTCTTTCTGTCTCTCTGTCTCTCTCTGTCTCTGGCAAGCACACATGCCTTACAGCAAAAATCTCTTGAAAAATAGTTTATGAAAAATGCATGACTTTGAAAAATTTTGGGGCCTCAGTAAATTTATGTTTAGATTCCATGTTCTTATCAACTTTAGGAAAAACTGTTATGGTAACTGAGTACTTAGTTGTATGCTTTCTTTCATTTGTTTTTAAGGTTTTACTGCTTGTTTTTCCCTCATGGAATATGTACTTGGCAGAGAGAGACAGAAAGAAGGAAAGTGAGAAGTCATCACCAAGCAGCAGGTGCTGCAATTTCTTCTCCTTCATTCTCCTCTTGGGATTTTAGTCATCACCAAGCCGCAGGTGCTGCAATTTCTTCTCCTTCATTCTCCTCTTGGGATTTTTTGGGCAAGAGTACCCATGCATCTGGCATGATTTTCAAGT